GAGAGGCGGGGCAGCGGGGGTTGGGATGGGATGTCCGAGGGAGGCAGGCCCAGCCCTCCACACTGGACTCCTCCCCCGTGGGAGTCAGCCACCCCAGAAAGGCTTCTGGCTCTGGCACCCGGCACCCCCAGCTCGGTTCAGCCCCACGAGACGCTAACGCTGCTGCCCCTCGAGAAGCCCTGCGTTAGAGCCGTAGACCTTTTGGGTTAGGACGGTGAACGCCCTCCGCAGGCCGGTGTGGTCCTAGGAGAGGACCTGGCCAAGGCCATGAAAGCAGAAGTGACACAGCAACCTCAGGTTCGCTCCCTCCAAGGCGAGGAGCAGGCTGTCCCCTGCCCTTCTCCCCTCCGTGCTGCTGGCGGGAAGCGGAAGCCGCCACCTTGGACCATGAGAGGGAAGCTGAGTGTGGGGATGGTGGGGCACATGACAGGAGCCCCCAGGCCTAGGAGAGGCCCTTCGCCCCGCTGACGACTGCTGGGGGCAGAACGGGTCCTCTGCTGGCCGGCCTGCTGCTCTGGCTCCCAGCCGGCCAGCTCTGCCCCTCGCCGACGTCGGCTCAGGACAGAGGGCTGAGGGCCGGGGTGGTGACTGAGGACACCCAGCCAGGGCACTGCCACCTTCCGCTAAGGGCTCACAGGTGAGCCGGGCCAGGGCCACCTGGGGCGAAGGCATTCTGGGGCTCCCGGGTCTGCCTGGGAGGCCGGGGTAAGAGGACAGGGGGCAGCAGGGACGGGCAGAGCCCACCCTGATGGAGCCTCTGCTTCCCAACGGGCTGCTGACCGGCTCCTCCACTGGCCGCCAGGCTTCCCCGCCCCGGCCCTGGGCCCCCCGGTCCAGCCCTACCTGTTTTGCTCCTGGAGGCTGATCTGTGAGAGGCCGTCCTCCCGGGCTCCAGGTGCATCCTCCCCAGGTGCTGCTCCAGCACCACGCTGCGCTGCCGCTCCTCCTGCAGCCTCCGCTGGGCCTCCAGAAGCCGGCCGTCCCTCTCCTCCACCCTGGGGGCGAGACGAGGGGCTGCCGCACTCCCTGGCTCCCAGGGAGGTGGGCACATCTGACACGGGTGGCGGTGGGACGGGCTCTTCTTTCCTTTCAATGCAGTAACACGGGCACGTGCGTTTAAAATCCCTATCGTTCCCTCCGAGGCCGAAAAGGGAAAAATCTACCCCCTGCTCACTCCCATGCCTGCTCGCCAGAAGCAAGCACCTCAAACACGCCTGGCTGCTGCTTGGACTATTTAATGCCTTGTTTCCACAGATGCTTATGCTGCTATGTTTTATTTTTTTTTCTTTCTTTAGAGAGAGAGGGAGGGAGGGAGGGAGGGAGGGAGGGAGCGATTTGCTGTTCCACTTGCTTATGCATTCACTGGTTGCTTCTTGTTATGAGCCCTGACCGGGGATCGAACCACAACCTTGGCGTATCAGGACGACCCTCTAACCCAGTGGTCGGCAAACTCATTAGTCAACAGAGCCAAATAGCAACAGTACAACGACTGAAATTTCTTTTGAGAGCCAAATTTTTTAAACTTAAACTATATAGGTAGGTACATTGTTATTAACTTCATTAGGGTACTCCTAAGCTGGCCTTTGCTAAAAACGTCCTCAATCTGATTGAGGTACGTTCGCTGAGGTCGGCCCCTTCCAAACTCTCCCATCCACACGCGTCTTGTATACTGGTTTCGTCTATCTCCTTTCGTTCATCCTCTCTCTATGTCCAAACCATCTCAACATACCTTTCTCAATCCTCGACACTACATCTTCTTTCACTCCACAACGTTCCCTAAAATTAACTTAATAAACTTAATACCCGCACGTGGTATTTTGTGGAAGAGCCACACTCAAGGGGCCAAAGAGCCGCGTGTGGCTCGCAAGCCGCGGTTTGCCGACCACTGCTCTGACCAGCTGAGTTACCCAGCCAGGGCTATGCCTCTCCTTTTAATGTTTAAATGGAATTGTCGGACTTCCTGCTGTGCAACATGAGAATTTAGTTTTACTTCGATCCCCTCCTCTTAGGACCGAGCGTCACCCCTCCACCTCCCAAGTCCTGGCTGAATTAATATGAGGTGGCGTATCGGGTTCCTGTTGCTGCTGTAACAAATGGTCGCAAACGTAACAGGGTGACGGGACACGAGTTTATTATCTCACAGTTCTGTTAGCCAGAGGGTTCGGCAGGTTCTGTGGGTGTCTCTGCTCCAGGTTCCACGAGCCAGAACCAAGGTGCTGGCGGACCTGGGCTGGTCCCTGGAGGTTCTGGGGGAGCATCTGCTTCCCAGTGTACTTGGGTGGTTGGAAGAAGTCAGATCCAATGGAGGGACTGAGCTCCCGGCTCCTGCAGGTTGCTGGCTGGGTCATTATCTCTTAGAGGCCCCGTGGGCCCTCCCTCTTCTAAGCCGGCCGGATACGCTCACCGCGCTCTGAGTCTCTGGGGCTTCTGCTGCGGCTCTCCGACAGACCCAGACCCGGCTGCAGCAATTTCTCTGCTTTTAAGGGCTCAAGTGATTACACTGGGCCCACCTGGTAATCCAAGATAATGTTCCTACGTTGGGATCCATAACAATAATTACATTTGCAAAGTCCCTTTGGCCCCAGAGGGGGGACCAACCCGGTCCACCCCAGGGGGTTGCATTAGAAATGTCATGGTTACATTTCCTTTCTTAATTGTTGCTTCTCTTGGATTGAGTGATTGCCTTCTGTTTATTGTCATTTATGGCTATTATTATTGTTCTCTTCTATAACAATAATGGATTCGTGGGCCTGGAAGGTTATTTCTATTTGGTTATTTCTCACAAAGGACTTGTCTGACCTCCCTGGGGCTGGGGGTAAGTCATTCCTGTGGCCGGGAGGAACTGGCGACTTTGGTGACACTCAAGGCTCAGCGGGAAGGCCGGGACTCCCTGAGACTGAGGCAGGCACAGGTTACAGACACACATGCCGATCAGAGTGGCTGCCGGGAAATTCTCAGGGTTGGAGGAACTGGTCTTTGCATACTTGTGACGAGTCAAGAAGGAACTGAATGGTGACAGTTTTGAAAAGTACAAACTAACACCAAACAGTACACAAACACAGTATACAGGCCTCTTAACACAACTTGTTCAAGCATGTTCCTTGAAACTATTTGTAGAAGCAAAAAAAACTCAAACAACCTAAAAGGTCCATGAACAGGAGAAAGAGAATAGTGGTCACTAACATATTCATACCAGGGAGTCCGATGGAATCTGAGAGAGCTGTGCTGGTCGGCACCGTGGCTGCCAGCATAATGCTCATGTGTAGCTAAATGCACATGAATGAACATCAGATGGCATTAAAAACTCGGCTCCTCAGTCACATTGGCCACACGTGGCTAATTGCTTCTTCTTTGATCAGTAGCTGAGCCGAGGCGGTTAGACTCCCGTTTGTCAATGGCTTTGGTCCTAGCAGCTCCCCAAGACCATGTGCACCAACCTCATGAAACTCCAGACATTGTTAAAGACCCGCCCTTTTTACTTGGTAATTGATTTTCATTCTATTTCGAGCGTTTGACCAAATGGACCGAATGGCAATGGGAAGTGGTGACTACACCAAGTCATTGGTGGGTGAATGTTTTGATGTTAAAAATTTTGCTTTCACGAGGACTGTAACTGTTGGGATAGGGATAAAGAATACTCAGATGAGGAGGTCCCCCTATCCAGGAATGAATTTAATACAAAGGATACAAGATCTCTATGAAGATCAATATTACACATTATATACATAATGCCGTATACATGATTTGCCATTATTTGTGGACATTTTAAATGCGCATATTCTTTGATTCAGAGATCCCACTATTAGAAGTTTGTAACACGGATATACTCCCACAGACATGTAAAGATGTGCCTAGTGTGAGTCCGTCTTTTAATTCATTATATATGTGTGTGCATCTACAGATACACATATGTACACATATACATGCATATTTTTGGATGTACAAAGAAAACATGTTGAAAGTTCTAACAGATCTTTTCTGTGAGGAGCGGGAAATTGGTGGGGGGTGGGGGTTGGAAAAGGAGTCTTTTTGCAGTAAGTTATATCTCTGTCACAGGAAAGCTTCCGATCTCACAAGCCAGTGTGAGAGCAGAAGACGTGAACTTGGGCTCAGACAAGGCCGCGAGCTGCGAGCGAGTTGTCTGCGTAACTGTGGACTGAGGCAGTCAGTCTCCTTCTGCAAGCCAGGGAAGTGGTAAGGACGCCGCAGTCTACCAGGGCCTCAGCGGGGGACAGAGCGCCGAGCATGAGGAAATGGAAAACAAGGCCAGCACTTGTGTGTTCAGGAAACCCTAAACCAAGAAATTAGCATAAATGACCGAGCACAGACCACTGAAACCCCAAGAGCGCCACACAGACAAAAGCCGCTCCATGGAGGAGCACTTCCACGGCCTAAGAACTGCCGCAAGCCACTCCGCGTGGGGTGGTTTCTGCTGCGGAAACAGATAGCTGTGTCACCTTGGTTCACAAAACCCTTGGTTCACAACGCTCAGGTGCGACTCAGAGGAAATGGGAGAGAAAGCCTGAACGGGTGTATTCCTCCCGTTCCATTTCCACAACAGAGAAAGAATTACTGTTACTTTTCTCACAGACCTGAGCATGTCTGGAAATCAGATCCTCCCTGCGCGTACTGCAGGAAAAGACAACAATGAACGCTGATCACTTCCCTGCTAAGGTGGCGGCCATCCATTGACCACTTCCCAGCACCCCTCCCTCCTTTGGGCATGATATTCTCTTTTTTTCTTTAACACGCTGCCCCTCCTCCAACTGTGAGTACCTGGAGGCATTTCCAGTCAAGATGTCTGGCCCGTGTCCAGGGAGGGACATGAAAGTGACCTAGGCCAGCTAGACTTTCCCCCACAGAACCCACGGCCACTGGAACTGAAAGCCATCGAGCCTTCATTCCAGTGGCCCAACACTGACCCTCCTCCAACTGTGAGTACCTGGAGGCATTTCCAGTCAAGATGCCTGGCCCGCGTCCAGGGAGGGACACGAGAGTGATCTGGGCCAGCTAGAATTCCCCCTCAGAACCCACGGGCACTGGAACTGAAAGCCACCGGGCCTTCATGCCAGTGGCCCAGGGGGAGACCACCCAAGGTCCCTGCTACCAAGATTCCTGGACCTTCTCGAGCTTCTCTCCTGCTCTGTGCCTGGAGCCTGCCAGCACCCCCCTAGTGCCGGCCTTTCCCTCCGCTTAGCCAGAATCGGTTTCTATTGCCTGTCACCAAAGCGCCCTCACTGACATGTGATACGGCCTGTTAGGGTGGAAACTCGGTGATGTCCTTTATATTCTCACTGTGGAGGTCACGTGGGTAGGCCATGTGTTGGCCAGGGCACCTGCGTTTCTTGCCAAAGGGTCACTTGAGTGAGGAGCACTGATTTATCTGAACGGAAACCTGTCAACAACCCCTTGGAGAAAACCGTGCCTCCTGGTCCACTGCCTCGGGCCACCCGCTCCCCTCGCCTCCCCAGAGAAGTCCCAGCTCCGAGCTCCCAGCGGCTCTCTTTCCCTTTGTAACTCCGGACACCAGTCTAGCCTCCGATGGCGCCGAGAGAGTGCCATACTCACCATAGGCTTTAACCACTGGTGGTCGATTGACTGACTTCACTACTCCAGGGAGCCTCTCCCTGAGACCCCCACCTCAGTCCACCTGCCTGCAACAGCCTCGTAGGACAGGGCAAACCGGCGTGACGACAGGGCCCCCAGGGTGTGGGCACTGGGTGGGGACATGAGCTGTGTCAGGGAATGCCCTGGACCAACACTGTGGGAGCCGAACTCCCCGGTCACGTGGACCCAGTCACAGACGAGGCCTGGCCAGGCCGTGCACCCCCGACCCAGGTAGGCCCATGAAAGGGAGTCCCCGAGCCCAGGGGTTACCGTTTCTGCAGGACGGTGACGAACTCGGTGAGCCGGTTGCGTTCCACCTCGGTGGCCTGCCAGAGAGCCTTGAGCTCTGTCACCTGGGCCTGCCAGCCCTTGTGTTCTGGGGAGTCCAAGAACCTGGGGACCAGGACGAAGGCAGGATGAGGTCATTTGAGGGGTTACCTGAAGACACACTACGATGGTGGCGGGGAGTTGAAGGACGTTCAGGGGTCCTCAGAGATGGCCAGAGAGGAGGAAGCCACCCCAGTTCCCCTGGCCCCCTGGTCGTCCACCCCTGGCTGCTCCTCAGCCACCATTCTGGGCCCTGCTCAAGTCTCCAGGCCTCACGTAGCCGGCTCCACACCAGGCCCCACCAGGGCACCTCTGTTCATCCAACCCCTCATAGGAGCCTGGAATAAGTCTGGCGGCCACAGTAGTTGGCTTTTGGGGACCTGGGGTGTTCTGGGTACCTGTGTGGCCTGGGGCCTGGCCTCCCTGCCCAATGCCAGCCTGCCCCAGCCCTCTCGCACATGCCGACTTGGTCCCAAGCCCAGCCCACTTGCCAGAGCCCCGACAGGTCGCTTTGTGAACTGTCCGCTTTCTCCAGCCCTGATCCGGACATCACTGCTTCCCTCCTTATCACTGGGCCTGCCTACCCGCCCTCCCCAGTGGCCGGGTCAGGACAGAAGGTAAGCTCTGCCTGACCCCAACCCCCCAGAGGCCACATGCGAGTCCCAAGCTGCTCTCTGCTTTGCCCCGACTTGGTCCCAAGCCCAGCCCACTTGCCAGAGCCCGGACAGGTGGCTTTGTGAACTGTCTGCTTTCTCCAGCCCTGATCCAGACATCACTGCTTCCCTCCTTACCACTGGGCCTGCCTACCCGCCCTCCCCAGGGGCCGGGGTCAGGGCAGAAGGTAAGCTCTGCCTCACCCCAACCCCCCAGAGGCCACGTGCGAGTCCCAAGCTGCTCTCTGCTTTGCTTTCACCTTTCCCAGTGAGACCCTGGTGACCCTGGCTGTGCTCAGCATCACGGGACACAGACAGGCCAGCCCAGAGGCTGGCGCTCCGTGGTCTTGGGCAGGTTCTTCCCCTCTCTGGGCCCCGGTGGTCCCTCTGCACAGGGTGGGGCCGATGGAGAGGGCCCTGAGGATGCAGGCTCCATGCTCTGACCAAGGCCTTGCTGCTCTGCTCAGAGTGTGGTGTCCGCGTCGGCGGCCGGGGCATCGCCTGCGAGCTGGTTGGAAATGCAGGGTCCCAGTCTCTGGCCCAGACCTGCCGCCGACTCAGAACCCACATCTAACCTGGCAGAGCCCCGCTGACCCGTGTGAGCACCACAGTTCAGACAGCCCTACTCCAGTCACCTCCTTGATCTCCCACGTGGGGGAGCACCCTGCCTTACTCCAGGCACCCACCAGTCTCCAGGCCATCGCTGATGGAAACCTTCTCTGGGTCACCCCCGCCCCACGCACACCCGTCCTGCCACTGATGGGAAGGGACTGCAAGCTCCATGAAGGCAGGGCCCGCACCTGCTCAGGTTCAGTGAACATTTGCATCGTGGAAGGAACCAGCTTGAGAACCAGCAGGCTGGGCCCAGGAGCACACGGGAGCCTGCACCCCTGTGGCATGCCCAGGTCCCAGCCACACAGGCTGGAAGGGACCTCCAGAGGTCTTCCTGTCCACCTCCCCGATCCTCCTCCTGTGACTACAACCAAAGGAGACAGAGCCTGTCTTTCTCTGTGGCAGGAGGAGAACTGTGGTGGGAGCCCCCTGGCTCAGAGTTGGCCCCCTCTCTCCCCAGATGCCCTGTGTCTCCAGGCTGCTGAGCGGGGCAGCTGCAGGGCTGGCCTTGGCCATGGTCCCCGAGCTGCCGGATGCCAGGCCAGAAGTGTCGTGGGCACTTCCTGGGAAACGGAAGCCCTGAGAGGACCAAATTGCCCAGCAAGTCAAAGGTGGGCCTAGACCCGTGGTCGGCAAACTGCGGCTCGCGAGCCACATGCGGCTCTTTGGCCAAAGATTTATATTTTTGATATTTATTTTATATATTTAAATGCCATTTAACAAAGAAAAATCAACCAAAAAAATGAGTTCGCGTGTCACCTCGGACACGCGTGTCATAGGTTCGCCATCACTGGCCTCGACCCATGGTCGGCAAACTACGGCTCGCGAGCCACATGTGGCTCTTTGACCCCTTGGGTGTGGTTCTTCCTAAGCCTTAGGAGTACCCTAATTAAGTTAATAACAATGTACCTACCTATATAGTTTAAGCTTAAAAAATTTGGCTCTCAAAAGAAATTTCAATCGTTGTACTGTTGATATTTGGCTCTGTTGACTAATGAGTTTGCCGACCACTGGCCTAGACCCACTCGGCGGCTCCCATCGGAACCTGAGCTGACCTGCATGAGGGGTGGGGTGGGGGAGGGGCTGGCAGCAAGGGCAGGGTTCCAGGGGACAGTGGGCAGGGCTCAGAGGCAGGACAAAGCCACCCTTTGTCCGTGAGCAGCAGGAAGAACAAAGAGCCCATCTGAGAACAAGGCTGGCTTCTGTCACAGAGATGGGGCCGGGGGAGGAGGGGCTATCAGTGCCTTCAAGTGGGGAGGCATAGGATGCGAATTTCTCCCCCAGAGGCTGATTCTCAGCGGGCAAGCGAAGACAAGGGGAGGGGCTGGGCCCTGGGCCCTGGAAGATTCCCGTTCAGGCTGCAGGAGCAGGGACACTGGACTGCGAGTCGGAGGCCGGGACTGGTTCCAAGCCTCTCACCTTGGACAAGGCACTCCAGGTCCTCCCTGCCCTCCACGTCCTTATGTAACCGTGGGAGAGTTCCCGGACTTGGCCTGGCCTCAGTTTCCCCTCCTTTTAATCGGATGGCACTCCCAGCTGCGTCAGGGATGGGAAGGACGGAGAGGGCCCGGGATGCTGGGTTCTTACCTGGGTGAGGCCCCATGAGGACTGGGCGGGGAAGGCCACGTGCGGGCAGATTCCACGAGTGTGTGGCCCAGGCTGGTCACCGAGCTGTGTGAAGGCAGAAGGGGCTCGTCACCGCGGGGAGGCAGGCTGGGCCCCAC